CAAAACAGAAATGCAGATATGCGTGCCAGAGAGAACACCCTCTGGGGAACAAAGGGCAGAGCTCTTATTATGGAATCATTGACTCAATTATTCCCTTAAAGCATACGAAAATGCCTCCAGATTTTTTACTTATTTTGCAAAGGGATGAATAGATCCATACTTTGTTAGTGTAAATAGGTTTCTATTTGAATTAGCAGAGAGAACGCTAGCTTGGCCAGCTCTTCCCCTGCAGGCAGCTCGCTGTAAGCTCTCGGGCCATCAGCCACAGTGCAGAGCAGTGAAGGGAAGAACAACACGACTCTCTAAAGGCACTGAAGTGTGACTGCAGCTCATCTGGATGCCAGGGGTTATGCAGAGAATGGGACCACTTCCCCCTCTCCCCATGGCCCCTTCTGGCCTCGGTATCTGGGGAAGAGAATCGAATCCAATCCCATAGAATCAAAGAGAATCATAGAGTGGTAGGTGGGACAATATTCTGGTTCCAGCCTCTCTCATGACAAAGGCATTTCTCATAGTGACAGCACAGATGTAAGCCCTGCTGACATCTCTCTGGCCTTGTGATGTTTTAAAGAGAGAAACTGGGCCCAAACTGGGATGTTTTCATTGTCATATTTCATGTCTTTCACAGTTAAAGCTGCCCTATTTCCCTGTTGCTCAAACAAGCATTTGCAGGAGCTCCTAAACCAGCACAAGAACATCTGCGCAGGCCTTTCCCTTTGCAAAGGATGCACTGTGAAAGAAAAATATCTGGATATCATTTTCCCTCGTATGCCTTTGGACACCCTTAGGCAGATTCCTGTGCTGGCCTCAGGGCAACAGGTTTCTTGTCATTAAAATACAGCACACGAGTTTCAAGAAGCAAAATGGTCCCTATCTCCTGGAACCACGAGGAGCTTTCATGCTGGTGCAAAGCGATGCCAAACCGTCAGGCCGTGAAGGATTTACATTCACATCTTACTGCAGCAAATCAATACCTGGAGGGCAGGAGATGGTCGTGTTGAGTATGGCTCTGCAGAGGAGCATGCAATATACTAGTCAGCCCAGCCTCATTCCATGCTTTGCTATGTACTGTAAGTCCTGGTTCGTGCATCTTTCACAGCAACATGCTATCAAGCAGCAGAGGAAGCAGCAACACTTACATTTCTGGCTGCCTGACATTTCCTACTGCAAACTTCCAGCTTCTTCTCACTTCCCAAGCTGCAATCTTGCACAGTGACGTGTTCCAGGCCAACTAGCTGCCATGGAACAAACATTCTGGAAGGTTTCTGCTCAAATCAGTTCAGCAGATAAAGACCGAAGCTACCAAGAAAAGGAGGTTTGCCGCACACTGTGTTTCTATGAGGTCATCGCACTCATCCCTGACTTGGATCAGCTTGGAAATTTGGTGGTTGATCAGACTGGAAACTGGTAGTTGAGCAGTTTGGGTCCCTCAGCCATTCCCCATAAGACTTGTGCTCCACACCCTTACAGCATTCTTGCCCTTCTTTGGATGCAGCCCGCACAGATGCATCCCATGCCCACACCACAATCTGGAAGCCCCCTGAGATGTCCTGAGCCACGAGGGGAAGCCAATGAGGGAATGAAGCTAACCAGGGCTTCCAGTGGCCTTCAAGAGAATCACAGAATCCTGGAATGGCCTGGGTTGCAAAGGAGCACAGTGCTCATCCAGTTCCAACCCCCTGCTATGAGCAGGTTGCCAACCAGGCTGCCCAGAGTCACATCCAGCCTGGCAAAGAGAAGGGTTTCACCCCTCTAAGGGAGCAAATCTCATTGACACAGAATTTGATGCTAAAAAAGAGATAAAAGCTATTTCAGAATACTGCAAGAAAGCAGTTAAAGCAAATGAATAAACAAGTGAGACAATATTAATTGTCTGAAACACAATCTGCTTGACTTTTGGTTTATAAAGATCTCTCTACTTGAGTTCCCATAGCAACTATTGCGCAAAACCACACTTTTCCTAATCATCTCCACTGAGTTTAAAGCAATTTTGTAATCCAATCAAATGTAAAGAAGAGAATTTGCTTTTGCGCTGAGAAAACTGCTACCTAATGAGCAAACAGTGACTGGGAGAGGCCAGATTTACAATTACGACCCTAGAGAGGCACTTAATTACTGAATAATTAGCGGTTACTGGAGTTCCTCAGCACAGAGAGGAACAGGCTTGTGGGTATTGGCTGTGAGAGGGGCTGCTGCAATTCGAAGGTCTTTCAAGCAGTTTTCTAAGGTGAGAGCAGCAGGCCTTACTGTGCATCACATTTAGTTGGATATGAGGAGGAAGTTTTTCAGCCAGAGGGTGGTGAGGCACTGGCACAGGTTGCCCAAGGAGGCTGTGGATGCCCCATCCCTGCAGGCATTCAAGGCCAGGCTGGATGTGGCTCTGGGCAGCCTGGGCTGCTGGTTGGCGACCTGCACACAGCAGGGGGTTGGAGCTGGATGAGCACTGTGCTCCTTTGCAACCCAGGCTGTTCTATGTTGCTATGACTCTATGATGCAAACTGCAGTCAGGAATGAATTGCATAACAGCAGAAGCTGAGGCAGTGCAGCTCTTAGAATGAAGTTTTGGGGAATCCAAGCCCCAAAACATCTGAGGGAGCAGAGGATGAGGCTGTCAGATGGGAACTTGCTTTCCCAACAGTTTTCTCCCAGCACAGTCCCCTGTGGAGGTGGGTGATGTCTGCTCATCCTCCCCAGCTGTGCTCAGTGTGTGAAAGCCTCGTTCCCAGGCAGCAAGTCCCACCTGGCCCTGGGACTTCACAGCACCCTCTGTGTGCTCAGTGTAGATAGATAGGGTCACATTATTTCCCCTTGGAAGGTAGCACTCCCCATAGGAGGAAGTGCTGATGCATAGACTGCTTTCCTGTAATGCAATGCAGAGCTGCAGAAAAGCAATTAGCTCTTGACTTTAATTCTTCAGATGCTGAAGCCCATAAAACTGTTCAGAGCGGCCAACTTTCCCATAAGGCCAAAGCTCAGAAACAGCCAAATAAATTAAGCAAGATCAGTTTGTCTTCCTACAGCGGTACAGAATGCAGCCCCAGGCTTGTTGTGACTTTCAGGGTCAGCCTGCTTTCACCCTGGGCTCTGGGACAATGACTGCATGTCTCCTGACTCATAGGAGCACTCTGCATAATCTCTCAGCATTTCATAAATGCAGGCTCGGTAAATGAGGTCAGGGCTCTGCTGCTGCACCTTGTCCAGGGACTGCAGAGCTTGATCCACATTTTGGAATCATTACCTGGCCAGCATTCTGCTCTCTCAAATCGGTCAGCCCCAGGTGGGCAGCCACAGTGCTCCTACGATCATCTGTCTGGTTTTGTTCTTTTTGTCAGGATGTGGAAGGGTACTTAAAAGGGGAAAAATAAAAATAAAAAAATAAATGCAGGAACAAGGATGTATAACAAGGTGTGTGTGTATATATATATATTTTATTTTTTTTTTCCCCATGTGTGACCACTGACACAACTGGTTGAATTGGCAAAACTTGTTCATCTCTGTAGCTTCATCTTTGGGCAAAACGTTGAGATGTTCATGTGCTTTGTTTGGTCTTTTTTTTTTTTCCATTTCCAGTTGAAAAGAAATTGAAGCCCCAAAGGAGGACACTTCCTATTCCCACACTTCCTATTCCCACTCCTACCTGTGGGATCTATTTGTCTGAGGCACAGATGTCATCAAGAGAAGAATCACAGCATGGCCTGGGTTGCAATGGAGCACAGTTCTCATCCAACTCCAACCCCCTGCTGTGTGCAGGTCGCCAACCAGCAGCCCAGGCTGCCCAGAGCCACATCCAGCCTGGCCTCGAATGCCTGCAGGGATGGGGCATCCACAGCAATGCATTGGTCTTTCCAATGTTCCGTGTCTCATGGCTGGATCTTCCCTTCTCTGATCAGTATTCAGAACAGTTCAGAGCCTCGTGATTCCTCTTTTGTCTCTAATAACTCATAAGCGCGTGCTTCAGACTCTTTCTGCGCATCAGCAATACTTATTCTCCTTTCTGACTGGATGTGAGCCCAACTTTGGCCAAAACGGCCACAAGTTTTGTGGTTGTGTGCAGGGCGGAAGAAACGTAGGCTGACCCTAACATCCCCTGCCCCTCAGCTCCTTAGAAAGACAACCTAGAAAGAAGGGGGACCGTCATCAAACAAGAGAAGAGCCTTCCTGTTGAGCACCTGGGTACAGAGCAGGACGCCCCTAGCGGGACGTGAGGACCGGTTCTAAGCGAGGAGGGCTCGTTTCGCTCTCCTCGCTGCCACGAAGCAGCCTCAACTCTGCCCCTCTGTGGCTACGTTGAAAAAGCACATGGAAGCAGATCAGCAATCGGTGGCCACACGGTAATTCTGAGCCCTGAAGTGGCGGAGGAGGTACGAAGTCGTACAGTCATCCTTCTGGGGGTCTGCCAAGCTGTTTCCATAAGGAGCTCGGCGTGCCTTTGAAATAATAATCATCTTTTTAACTGCTCTCATGGGTGCTGCGGGCTAGCTTACTCCACCTGGCAAGGCTACAAATGGTGGGATGTGGTATTTGCCCCATCCCTGCAGGCATTCAAGGCCAGGCTGGATGTGGCTCTGGGCAGCCTGCTCTGCTGGTTGGCGACCTGCACACAGCAAGGGGTTGGAGCTGGATGAGCACTGCGTTCCTTTTGAACCCAAGCCATGCTGTGATTCTACGATATGAAATTATCGCAAAGACCCCACTGAAAGATGCAGGGAAGGAAAGGAGCCCTTACGCAGCCCATAACAAACATGGCGGCAGTACCGCCCGTAGCAGCGGAAGCGGAACGCTGGCTCCCCATTGGCCAAATCCATCACCGACGAGCCCGCCCGCCCACATAACTCGCCTTCCGATAGGCTGCCGCCCTCTCTGAGCCCGCCCCCACCCCCTTGCAGTCACAGGGCGCAACCTTTGTGCGCATGCTCAGCGTCCCCGGAAGTTGTGTTGTGAGGGCGCGGCGCAAGATGGCGGCTGCGGGGCGGCTGCAGGTTTGGGGCGCGCTACGCAAACCGAGCCCGGTGAAGGAACTGTGGGACGGCACGCGGTGGGAATTGCCGCGGTGCGGAGCCAGGCCCGTCGGTGAGGAGCCCCCAGTGCTCCGGGAGTGGTCTCGTCAGGGCGGAGCAGAGCAGGAGGAGCACCTCTCTCGCCCTGCTAGCCGTGCTCCGTGCATCCGGGGCACGCTGCTGCCTCAGTGCCAGCCACGGACCACCATTCAGCAGCCGTTCATCACCATTTGTCAGCTGTTGGTCAACCGTTGCTCAGCCAGGACCCCCATGTCCTTCTCACAGCTCCTCTCCAGCAGCTCAGCCCCAACCTGTGCAGCTCCATGAGGTTATTCCTCCCCAGCTGTAGGACCCTGCACTCCTCCTTGTTGGACCCAAGGTTTTTCATCCCTCACCAAAAGCCAGGCTGGATTTTTTTTATGCTGCCAGCAATGTGTCAGATTCCCTCTGCCAGCCTACATCATGTGATTACCCAGCGTGGTCTGTTGGGCTGAAAACTGCACGTCATGTGGCCCAGAAATTAAACTAAAAATAAAAGTAGCTTTCTCTAAAGTGCTACAGCCAAAGGGACTGAGGGCAATGGTTATCATCTGACATCACTTCTACCCACGGGGAAATCTCCCTTTCTATCCAGGTGCCCTTCTTTTGGATTGTGCCATACTTTGATACGCACAAGTCTGTGTTTGATGAGAGTTTACTTGGGCATGTTTGCTTTTATTTGGGTGTATAATGCCAGTTGTAGGTATATGACTGCTATTATGATAATAACTGTTTACTTACAGGGTTAAGGGGACAATTTGTCATAACAGCTCTTCTTACCATCTATCCGTGAGTATACGATGTGACTGTGTTTTTTGGAGGAGAGAGGAAATGTCTCTATGTTTTCTGATACAAGCCAATGGGATTTGCCATGCTCTTGAAGAGTGAGACCCTGAGATAACCACTGCTTTATCTACTGTGAGCTCACAATGAATGCCACTGTTATTTTTTTCCTTTTCCCTTCAGGCCATATTTATTCTGCCTTTTCCTGGGTGTTTCTGTTTTGCAGCTTTGTGGGTTGGTATTAATGTTGTGTGGCAAGTGCATGAAGCAGATCCTTATCTTCCCATGGAATTGCAACCTGAAACAAGCCTAGATTCTTAGAACTGGTTGTGTTCAAGTTCATAAGATAACATTTTAGAGCCAATATTATTCAAAGGAAAAAATTAAGCCAAAATCATGTAGGGGCAGATGCTGAGTGTAAGCAAATGTTGTGTGTTTAGACTACATAAAATAATGGACTTTTTTGTTGTTGTTCTTTAACAGCTATAAAGATGGAGTGTTTGGGAAATAGCAGGGTGCCACGATGAAAACTGATTTCATAAACTTTATCAAAGACCAGGAATGGAAATCCATTGAACCAGTTTCATCATGGTTTCATCCTTCCTTCTACCTGTAAGGTTTGGTATGCCTCCTGTACTTGTTTGTTGTCAAGCAGGCACACTTCAAGGGCAGGTGGGACAGCTGCAGCACCTGTGTGCACCTCACCTGGTGCAGTTTCCTGAGCAAAGTTTACTTTTAGGTTTCAAATGCTTGAAGTGCAATGCTAGATTGAAATGTTACTTTTTTTTGGTGGCTCTTACAGGAAGCCTGGCGTTGTTACTTTGCCTGCTTACAGCACTGCCTGAAGCTTGAAACTGTGCAGTTGATTTCCTGCACCCGATTTTCCTGTTACTCCATGCCAAGAAATGCATGAAATAAAGTGCTTCTTTTAGGATCAATGTTTTCTATTGGAAATGTACAGTACCAGCTCCTTTCTGCATGTTGAAGCAGTGTGCAGGACTGGTGAATGTCCACTTCTGCAACTCAGTCTTTAGAAATTTATGTAGTCTTAATGTTTAGAATTCTCTTTTTTTTTTTTTTTTAAGGATAATCAATACTTAATGGTGAAGTTTCACAATAACAGGGAAATGTCAGAACCAGCAGAATATACGTGGCAGATAGCCTGGTCTTCTTTACTTGTGTGTAAACTGCAGCTAAACTCAACTGGCTGAATCTCTCTCAGTTCTTATACCTTTTATTCAGTAGGCTGATTCTTTGGTTTGGGAAGTGCCCAAATTGCTTAATTAGTGATATCCTTCATAGAGTTCCAGTTGTTGGGCCATAAATAACTGATGAATTTCAGTTACTTTTGTTTATGTTCTGTGTCAGCAGGTTTAAGTCAAGGGATTTTGTCAAGGAGTTGGTTGTTGTCCTATGTGGAATATTGTACAGAGTGATGTCAGTTCTGGAGGTGCTTCATGGGAAATGGGTGCTTACTGAACAACAGACAGAATAGAAGCTAAAAGCAAATTAATCCAGAGGGAAACCAGGCATGAGCAGTTGTTCAACATGCATCTAAATAATGGCTCATCAGGCAAATCAGAAGACAGTAGATTCTGATTGACTTGGGTATTTTCATGTACACTTTCCTGCTTTGTTCTGCAGTGTGTCAGCTTTGTGACAGATGTCAGCGTGGGTCAGGGTATGTGCTTCTATTGACTTGATTTCAATGTTTATTTCAACTTTTATGATACTCACTCATTCTTGAAACGATTCTCCTGCCTTCTGTTGTAGCACTGCCATGGTTATTTAACAGAAAGCATTGGAATGCAGATTTGGGGCTCCTACACTGTGTTCCTGTTGGCCACCCTCTTCTCAGGACTGATCCTGCAGCTTGTAAGTGAGCCACTTGAAGCAGGTCAGTTTGTGTCTGCTGAGTGCCTGTGGTTTAAGCTTATCTTCCATTCCAGATAATGGTGTTCTTAGCAGACTGCCTCTGTGCTTCCAAAAACACAGGCCAGCACAGTGCCTTTATTCAAGTAAGCACACTGTGTTCTTCTAGTTCAGTGAAGCTGTTGGGTAAACCTTAATAAAAATGGGGATATAACTTGTGCTTGCAGAACAGAAGGAAGTTTCACGTGTGCTTTGTGTTTTCTTTAACTGCAGCTACTTGCCTTTCATGGTTTATATTGGGATTGTGTATGCAGCTAATAGTAAACTATTTCTTCAAGATGATTCTTTAGGTGATAGAAAAATACCACGTTTCATTCCTGCAAGTTGTGAAATGCATGGGAGATAGAATAAAGTCGTTGAATCACTGCCTTCTTTTCTGGAGTTCTCAGTTTTGAAGAGTTGGGGGATTTCTCTCTTGTTGAGGGGCAAAGTGTCACAGAATTGTAAGGGTTGGAAGGGACCATCGAGTCCAACCCTCTGCAGAGCAGCTCCTTGCAGCAGGCTGCACAGGTTGGCATCTCTAAGCTGGAAGGCAGCACAGCTCTTTGGAGATATCATCCAGCTGGCACATGGGACCCTCAGTGCCCCCCAGCAAGGAGTCCCCAATTACTGAGACTCTCTGCCCTTTTTTGGTGGCACTGGTTGTGATGCAGTGCCCCGACTGGCCCTGCTCCCTGTGCTTGTTACTCCCTGTATCATCAACATGCCCCTCTGGGCTGGGTTCTGCCTGCTTTCCAGACTGCTGTCCGGCCTGAGAGCCTCGGATCCATTACTCAGCAGCACTTCAGGGGTTCTCTATAGCAGAGAAGCAAAACTGCAGCTGTTTCCATGGAAAAAAAGAATGCTGTAACGCTATAGTGAGTGAGCCATTAGTGAGGCACTGCTGTGAAAAGACGAGTTCAAATAATTCCTTGGACTGAAGCTGCCCTGAGATACTTGTGGTCTCTAGTTGGGACTGCCTTGCATATCTCATGGTCGTTTGAGTCATTTGGGTTAGATGATTTTTATGGCTTGGGAAAGAGCTTTCATGCATACCAGGCTTTGAGCGATGGCCGGCGGTGGGGGGATGTATTCTTGTGTTGCAAAAAGAATGTGGGCCAGTTGACAAACGATGTTTAAAATTCAGTTCTTTGTAACCTCGTTGCATTTGCCAAAAATCCTGCTGCATATGGATGCAAATCATCTCTGCTACAGACTGCTTCCTCCTCTTGTCCACCTACACGCAGTATTTCAAACCCTACCAGCCGTGGTGGCCAACGCCGGTGCGTTTATCTTGGAGTAGGAAACTGAAATGAGGATTGGCCGAGTTCTGCAATGAAAGATCCTTGGCAGGGGGGACAAATCAGCACAAGGTATGCTCAGCAGCCTGAGCCAGCGTTCAACTGCTGGCTTTTCTCAGCAGGGTGTCTGTTTTGCCTCTGCTTCCTTGGTCTTTCCCCCATCTCTTCCCTTACAGAGTATAAGAGCAGGGCAGTGTTGTGGCTGCTCTTGGTGCGTGTGCAGTTAGCTGGAAAAAGGCAGCGATGCTCATTGCAGTTTCTCCTCAACAGGAACAAGGAATTTGTATTGCCTGGGGAGTGATTGAATGCTCACACAAGCCCAACTTCCCTCCTCTTCCACTCGATTTATTATGTATAACAGAAAGTAATAGCCAGTCCAAAGGGAAAACAGCTAAAAGTTGAGCTGAAATGGATGATTAAAATAGTTGGGATTAGCTTCAAGAGAAACAATGAAGTAGCTGTCTGGCAGTTTGTGTTTGCCAGCTTGTCAGTTAGCCCTAGGCCTGGTTTTGAAACGGGCAGAGTTCCATTTGTGACAAAAATCAACAGGAAAGGGGAAAACTCAATATGTTGTAGCAGTGTTTCTGTGTTTAGAAATAAGAGAATACAACTGATAGTAATTTGAAGACTTTTTTTACTTAGAGGTGAGAGAATGTGCCTGGTGATGCTGTCTCGCCCCCTTTTCTGCATCAGGTCTGGGTCTGTGTCACAGCACAGTGAGGCTCTTTGCCTTGTGGATGCCATAGCACGAGGTTTGTTTTGCACTTGTGAGGCTCAGATCTGCCACGAGCACAGTCGCATCGATCTGTGCCATCTGACTCCTCGGGCTGTCCAACACTGCTGACAGATCACAGCATGTATCTGTCTTGGAATCTGCCAAACAAAGAGAAAAACTCGAGGAGGCCAAGGGCTGTGTTTGTATGGCCTGAATTCCATTGATGTGCTTTGTCAAGTCACAGGAGAGAAGAGCCCAGAAGTGCTGGCACAGAGAAACGGGCAGGATGTGAGCTGGATGGGGTCGGGGCTGACAGCTGCGCTGCTGGGGGAGCTGGAGTGCAGGAATGAGTGGGGATGTGCTTGGCCTTGTCTTTTGGCTCTCAGGCAGGTGTGATGCCGCTGCTCCGTGGCAGTGAGGAAGAGCTGAGTGAAGCCTTCCCTTATCACTGAGCCTGGCTGGCGTGTTCATGTGGGCTGTTCAACCCCTGAGGCTTCCAGGAAAATGTCACGCATTTCCCTTGTTGAATTTTCCTTGCTGTTTACTGGGCTGCAAAGCTGATTTCTTAGGTGACTGGAAAAGCATCTTGGCTCTGAGGATAAGGAACCATGTCCTCCTCTCCTCATCTCCTGGGCAGGATTCGAGCTTTTGTTGGAGGTTTCTCTGTTTTCTTTGGCAAAAATGAAAAGAAAGAGCCCTGCCGGGGTCTGCTGGCCCCTGGGGGAGAGCTGTTTGGCTCGGTGCTTTGCTGGAGCTCTGAGCGATGACTAAATCCACCCAAATCCCACTCATGGTGCTGCAGAGACCTTGCTGGGCTGGAGGAGCACAGGGCCGGGTCAGAGGCATAAGAAAACATCTTTTTTTTTTTTCCTTTAGGAACTGCTGACTAAATAACCCTTGGCTAGATTTATGTAGAGCGCATGATATCCTGATGTCCTGTGGTCACTTCTGGAAACACCTCATTTGTCTTCTGCTCACCCAGGAAATCACGAACCTTGGCTGCTGCCACGACAGTGATTTCAGCTCCAAAAATTGTGAAATTTGGGGCAGGATCTTGAGAGATGTATCTGGCCATGTGCACTTTGGGTTTGTCTGTTGCAGTTGTGTAGTTGGCCGTGAGCCGATGTTCCTCACCAAAGCTCAAACGTCCCAGACAGAGACCTGCTCCATTTGGAGCACAGATCTGTTTGTAAAGGACTTTGGAACATGTCTCACCATGGTTTACTCCAGTTTTACCCTGGAAGGTGGCGGAAGAAGTTGTTGGGTTGTAAAAAGGAAACCAACCAAAGGGAATCACGGGGCCATTCAGTTTGGAGAGGACCTCCAACGTCCCTGTCCCATCCCACCACGTCTCTCGGTGCCACGTCCCCACAGCTCTGGAACACCTCCAGGGTTGGTGACCCCACCACTCTCTGTGCAGCTGTGCCAATACCTCACCACTCTTTCAGAGAAGAAATTGTTCCCAATACACCCAGCCTTGGAGATGCACTTAAAGGTTGCTTGGACCGGTGTTATTCCTGAAGGAAATGCTACAGCAAGACCAGAAATAATTTCATAGCTTAACAGAGCATGGCAAAAGCATGAAACAAACCAGTGTAAGTAATTTTAGTTGATAGATGTGCATACAGTGGGTACAGGGCCAAGTTGTGCCACATTATGGTATGGTACCCCATCCCTGGAAGTGCCCAAGGCCAGGCTGGATGCTGCCATGGGCACCCTGAGCTGGCAGCACCTATTGCAGTGGTTGGAAACCCTAGTTTGGAACTGGATGATCTTAGAGATGATCTTCCAACCCAACCATTCTTTGATCTCTGCGCTGCTTCTCACACTGCGTCTTGCCTTTGGCCAGGGCCAGGCTGGGCAAGCAGCTGTCAGCTGGTGGCAGCAGAGCTGTGCAGTGTGCGAGGAGCTGCTCACAGAGCTGGTTTTGTCAGGGTTTGCTCCCTGCACAGCCTGGGGCTTTGGAAAGGCCGGGGGAGAATGGAGCTGCGGTGCTGCCCTCGGGCTGGGGGCTGCTGCATTTGGCTGGTTCATCCGTCCCTTCTCCTCTCTGCCTCTCCCAGTCCCGACATGTATTCCTGCCCATCGGGCCCAGCCCACGTCTGTTGTTTCTGGCTGCATCTGCAGAAGCTGTTTATTTACAAATCTCTCCAGAATTGGCCTCTTTGGTTCAAACTGATGCAGGCGTTGCTTGAAGGAAAGCTGATTTTTGACAGTCAGCGTGAGGATGGGAACAGATGGAGGCTTTGATGAATTAGGTATCTCTGAGTGTCGTCCTCCTGCAAATCAGCTTGGTTTTCTCCATTAGCATAAGAAGCAGGAAAAAGGATTTCATTTCTCCCAACGTTTCCCCTTTCCCCACCTCTCCAGCTCAGAGATGCGTGTTGCTGCGTACCAACGAAGCGGCTCAGCTCCTTCCACAAAGCAGCAGCAGTTCCCAATCCTTTGCTGGCACTTCTCCCTCCCTGGGGTGCGTGCTGTGCTGCTCTCCACCACGGGATGCTAAAACGAGAGCCTTCCTGGGGCCGTGAGTCATCTGCAGTGTGAATTACTCGTTCTGCTTCGCTGAGAGCAGGAGAGATCTGAGCTGGGCTGCGCTTACTCACGGCTGCTCCTCCATCACAGCCAACTCAGGGCAGTGCAGGCAGCGCAGATGCGGAGAACGCGGCTGCACTGTGAATTATTGATAAGGGAATAACAGCGCTGGGAGATAATCTCTGGAGGAGTGCGGAGAGTAAATCTCTGCTGCACAGGGAGTGAGTGTCCCCGTTAGGAGAGCTTCTCCTAGGCAGGGGATAGCAGCAGTGGGAGGTTTTGCTTGAGTGCAGAGTGCAGAAACAGGCTCCATGCAGTGTTTCAGGGAAGGAGTTTGGCAGGGAGAGAGAAAGTTGTACCCTCAGGCCTTGCTCTTCCTTTGGGAACGTCAAAATATGCAGCTGAGAGCAGCAGGTCCTCCAGGAGAAGGCCACTGAATCTCTGCACACAAAGTCGGCACCCCATTACCACCAGCTGGCTTTTCTCCACGTGGACAGATGGGGGTGATGCTCTTGCCCAACCCAAAATGGGTGAGCAGGGATTCCCGTATCCAGAGACTCATGGAATCACAGAATGGTTTGAGTTGAAACGAGGCTCTAAAGGCCGTCTGGTCCCACTCCCGTGGCTCCATCAGGTGCTCAGCCTGACCTTGGCTGTCTGTGGGGACAGGAGCATCCTAACCCTGTGGATGCCGTGCCAGACTGGCCCTATGGCTCCCATCACACAAACACACCTGCTGCTCCAGCTGCTGAGTGCTGGGGGCCATGTCTCAGTTACCCTGCATGGCACAGGGCAGGAAGCACACTGGCAGGGTAGGGCTGGGTGAATGCCCCCAGTGAAAGCACCATCTGTGACATGCACACGTCGCTTGCACCGACCTGATGCTGTCTGCTGCCCCAGCCTTGCTTTGCTGGCTGGCCATCTGCTCTCTGCAGGATGGGTTTGCACCATCTGTAGCATTGACAAGCACCATAAATTTCACAGAGCAATGGATGTCAGTGCTGGAGCTGGATTTCCCTCCATATCATAGAATCACAGAACGGCCCGGGTTGGAAGGACCTCAAGGATCACGAAGCTCCAACCCCCCTGTGCCATGCAGGGCCACCAACCTCCACATTTCACAGCAGCCCAGGCTGCCCAGGGCCCCATCCAACCTGGCCTTGGACACCTCCAGGGATGGACGGGGCATCACAGCCTCTCTGGGCAGCTGTTCCAGCACCTCACCACTCTCACAGCACACAACTTCCCCCTGACATCCAATCTGACACCTGCTGATGCACGGTGTTGAATTGAGTGCCAGAAGCCTTTGGAGATCTCAGAGATCTTTTCCAATGTTAAGGATTCAGTAACTGTAGGGGTTTGGATCTGGACCAGGAGAAAGGCTGTGAGTGCCTTTGGAAACTGCTTTTAACCTTAAGTTCCCATCCTGGCCAATGCTGTGATGCTGAGCACCCCGTAGAGCAGGATGTGATTTAAGGCAGCCCCATTGCTGAGTGCTGGGAGCTGCTGGTGCAATTGGCTTCAGGGTTTGTTTGCTGAAGAATGAAGAACCAAGGGCCCCCAGGGCGAGATGCATTGCCTCGCTGAGGTTGTATTAAATGTGCAGCAGCCAGCTCACCAACAGCAGGTTTTGATCCACAATCTTGACATTGTCAGGGCTCTCAGCCCATTTCCAAAATGTGAACTAATTAGCTGGAGGGGACGGCCACCAGCCCCAGGAATTGCCTTGGAAAGGATGGATAAATGGGGAGGAAGAGGCGGAGGAGCTGTGCTTCCCACGAGGCCGTGAACAAAGTGCTGCTCTGTTCCCTTGCAGAGCTGTGCTGGTGCTGCTCCCATCCCACGGGATGTGTGCCCATCACAGCAGCCCTGAGCATGCTGATGGGTGGTGGGTTGGGGGTTGGACTGGGTGATCTTAGAGGGCTTTTGCAGCCTCTATGATTCTATAATTCCATGCCCAGCTCCCATCTGGCACTGGGCTGCTCACCCTCTTGGTGGTGAGCACTGCACATGGGGCTTTGCTCTTTCTGGGTGCTGACCTCTGTGGGGTCTTTGGCTGGCCGCTGCCTCCAGCACATCTGTGGAATTTTGGGGTCTTGGGCACATTTTCTTGGAGAGAGAGAGGAGCTGAGCATGAGGACACAAGCACAGGGAGGTCACGTCCCGCTGCAGCCTCCCAAGTGACTCACACAACCTCTGTCTCCACCTGTAAAACGGGCACAGCAGGATGGTTTTGCCTTCCTGGTGCTTTGCGAGGCTAAATTCCTTACCTATGAGGAGTTCTGCATTGATTTCAGCAACTTTGGTTGGTGCTGAGACCTGGCACTTGCTGCAGCTCTGCAGCCCTCCCCTTGGCATCTGTGGCTCTCCCAGGGCAGCGTTGGCATGGCACCACTGGCTTTGTGCACCTGTTCTGGGGAAGACTTCTGCCTTTGGTCGGGCAGGAGGTGTTGGGCTCATCCTGATGGGCAGGGATGGGGCCTGGGGAGCCCCGTGGTGCAGTGCAGGGTGCCGCACGCCCACTCTGAAGTTATTAATAAAATTCACAAATGCTTCGAGCTCAAATCCCCGTGTCAGCTTGGCTCATCAATTCTTCAGCAACTTCTCTTTGCCAGTCCCTTTGAAGGGATTATTTGAATATGCGCAGCACTCTTCAGACATCCCATAAATAAATCTGTGTCATGAGGGGTCACGCCGCATCCGGCGGCGCTTCTGGTCTGCAAATAGCGCATCCCTGCTCCTGCCTGGTGGCTCTGCAGCCTGCATGCACAGAGCTTGTGCTGAACGTCTCAGAGCACGTGGAATGGGGCAGCAGCAGGAGGAGAAGAAAACATGGAGAGCTGTGGATGCCCCGTCCCTGGAGGTGCTCCAGGCTGTGGATGGGCCCTGGGTAGCCTGAGCTGGGGGGCACCCAGCCCGTGGCAGGGGTTGGAGCTGGATGGTCATTGAGGTCACTTCCAACCTAAGCACTCTGTGATTTGTGAACCCTATGTGCTTTTACCTTTGACAGTGTCCTCTGTGGCCCTGCCTGCTTACTCCAGAAGCAAATCACTAAAGCTGTGCTACCATTTCACCAAGTCGCAGAATGGTTGAGGTCGGCAGGGTCCTCTGGGTCCCTTTGGCTCAGCCCTGCCCCAGCAGGGACACCCAGAGCTGTGCCCAACCAGGTTACTTCTGATGATCTCCGAGGAGGTGATTCCACAACCTCTCTGGTCCCTGTGCCAGAGTTTTGTGACATCTTTCCCATATGGAGGTGGAATCAATGGAGGGGTGGATGGAACCAGTGATGAAACCCATCCAAGAGGCTGATGACAGCTGGGAGGTGCTGACCCTGCCAACATGCAGATGGATGCAATGAACCAAACCCACGTCCCACCGCCACGACGACGGGTCACAAGGAAGCGGCAGCACTTGGGGGCAATAGCGCAGCTGCACCTGGCCTCTCCTCCTCCAAGAAGATGAGCTCATCTCATTTTCTTTCAGGAGATAAAGAGAAAAAACAAAAGGAAAAACAAAAGAAAAGAGGCAAAGCAAACACCTCGGCCTTTGTTTGGGCAGAAAACAGCCGCAGCCCACTCAGATGGAATTTATTTTGCGCTCGGTAATTCAATCCATTCGGGCTCAGGATGTGGCTGGGAGAGCTGAGCCAAAAAATGCAAGTTTAAAGCAACTGAATTTTATGCTGTGTATACAGTTGAGTTTGGGTTTGGCCGAGGCGAGAAGTTTCCATGTTTTTTTGCAATTTCTGTTGTAGCAACAAACTCCTTGTGCAATGGAGGGGCTGGAACCGTGGCCGGAGAGAGGGGCTCAAGAGGAATGGGACTCATATGGTCTCAGTGTAATGGGATGAGACACGTTCTCTTTGCTGGTGTCCTTTTTGCTGCCATCTGCATTTATCAGCATGGTGAGGGCTGGGAAAGCCGAATAATTGAATGATTTGGGTTGGAAGGGACCTCAAAGATCATCCAGTTCCAACCCCTACTGTGGCCTCGGGCACCTCCAGGGTTGGAGCACCCACAGCTCTGGGCACTGCAGGGCCTCACTTCCCTCTGGGTAAAGAATTTCCCCCTCATCTAACCCAGACCTCCCCTCTTATAGTTTAAAGCCATTCCCCCTTGTCCTACTGGTCACAGCCACCACCACCTCCATGGCCATGTGTCCAACCCCGCATAACAGAACATCTCCGCAGGCTGGCCCCTAAACTGTTAACACATTAATTACAAGAAGAAAGAGGAGTCAGTCCCATTAAGCTCACCATCTGTTTTAATTACCCACTAATGCTCGCGGAAAGCTTTGTACACACTCTAATTGCATAATTAAAACGAGCTGTTGGGAGATAGATGGCACGGAGATGGCTGGGGCGAGGGACGCGTCCTTGCTCCTCTTGCAGCAGCATCCTAATTAAGAGGGAGCAGTAAAGTGCCTCCTTTTGGGGCTGAGGATAGCAAATTCTTCAAATCCTGCACTTCCAGCCCAAATCCAGGCTGTGGATCCTGGAGTAGGAATAGTAGAAGGACTTCTTTGCTTTGTTTGTTTGTCGTGTTGTTCTTTCTTCTTCCTCCTCCTTTTTCCCACACCGCTGCTCTTTCCCGTTCCCCGCAAACCCACTCGGTGGATCAACACAACACATTTCTCCATTAAACCTCTGATCTGTGCTGAGAAAACACGATGAAGTCATTGCGAGTCCCGAAAACAGGAAGGAGTCCACCCTCCTTGGAGTGCTCCGAGGGAGCTCTGCAGCCAGGAGGAGGCCCAGAGCACAAGTGTTTGTGGGCAAAACCTGCCTCCTGCAATCTGCCCACGTGGATTGTTGGTGAGTTCGTGATGAGTGATGCACTGGGACATGATTAGGGAATAACTCGCTGCAGCGGCTCTGCTCCAGCACGGCTGTGATGGGAAGTTTTTGCTCTACACCGTGCCTGACAGCTCCTACTGGCTGCTGTTTGGCCATGGATGATTCTAATATCCAAGCTGAACCTTCTTTGGTGCAATTAAAGGCCATGGCTGCTCTTCCTGTCCATGCTGTCCATGTGCATCCAAGAGATCCAAGGGCTGGACCCATGCCGTCATGGTGGAGGAGGTTTGCTGGCTCTGTGGAGCTATTGCCGTGGGGATCAGAATTTGGATTGGGCACAGATTTCCCCAAAAATAAAGCTGTTGTGACAAAGGGGAGAGCTTTGTGTGCAATAGCACATAGACCTGCAGCGCTCAGAGCTCCTGGACATCCCCCCTGTGCATCCCCACGTGCTGCAGGTCTATGGGCAGATTTCCACAGTGGTTCTGCATTTGTCACTTTTGGGGCCTCTGGGAAGCACTTGGAAGTGAGAGGTGCTTAAAATGAGAGATGCTTATTGAAGCATCCGAGATGGTGGGTGCTCCAGCTCAACCCCCAAACGAACCCCAAAACAGAAGCCTCTGGGTAAGCCAGTGTGTTGCTCCTGCAGCAGCACACAGCAGCCATTGGTTTTCCCCATTCTGGGCTCCCTTGCCCACACACGTCTCAGCAATCTGCCAGCCTGGGTGCAGGAAGAAAATCCCATGAGTGGCTTAGATCTGCTGTATTTGGGCAGGGGAGGAAAAGGACAGAAAGTTTGGATGCAGGTTTCACCTTTTTCTAACTCATGCGTATATTAAAATTAATTCTGCTAAGCGTTGGAGTGAAATAGTTGACAGCTTTTTCTTTAGAACATACTGAAATAGGACTTTTTGGCTAACCCCAAACTCTTGGAGATGTGTTCAGCCTGCAGGCTGTCAAACTATTTCACCCCATGGGTCAAAACCATAGAATGGCCTGTGTTGAAAAGGACCACAATACTCACAGTACACACTTTCAACCCCCTGCTACGTGCAGGATCGCCAACCACCAGACCAGGCTGCCCAGAGCCATGAAGCATCTTCTAGAAAGCATCTCCTCCTTTTGGAGAAGGTCCTGCTGGGGAGGTCCACCAGCAGCACCCAAAATGTAATTCACAGCCCTTGGGTCCTTCAGCCATGCATGGCCAGCACTTGCCCTGCAGAAGGATGCGTGTCCAGGAGCTGTGCATAGGAGCAGCCCAAATGGCTTTGTGTATATG